AGCAGGAATTCAACAACCTTTTAAATTTTTAATTAGGAAAATTAATTTTAGGGTATCTCCCACAGAAAGAGAGGGTGATTACGGGGTATCAAAAGGGGTGGGGGGAGAATGTAAAAAAAAAAAAAAAGTAATGCTCGGTTAAGACTCGGTAGCACCCATTCGGGATTCCACTGCCCGGCAGAACCCAAAGAGACTACGCTCAAGAACCTGCTAATTCACGAGCTTCTGAACTCCTGCCAGTTCCCAGCTTCCGATGCTCTGGTCCAAAGAAACGTCCTACGTGGGAATCCGGAGTTACGACCGCCAAGTGGCACCGTGGACCAGGGCAACCTCTACTGCATGACAATCGGTGCTTAAAAATTAGCCAATGGCCAGACCCAGTGAGTCCACCCTGAGCAGGCTCAAGGGGCAGCCGGGCCCTCCGCTCGATCCGGGGGTCCGGCGCGGCGGCCCTCGGGCCCCCAGACCCGGCCGACCCGGGGGAGGTGCGCCAGAGGCCGGCTGGGACCCCAAACTCCGCTTCCCCCAAGAGGGGTCCCGGGTGGGAATACGGGTGGGTGGGGGCGGGGAGGGGGCGACCAATACAGTAGGAGCGGCGCGGAGGGCGGCGGGCCGGAGGCGGGCGGGAAGACAGTCCGCTCCCGAGTCGGGGAGCCGGGGGGAGCCGGGGAGAGTCGGGGGAAGCCGAGGGGCCGGGGAAGGGTAGGCAAGGCGCGGAGGCGGACGCGAGAGCCTCGCGCCTCCCGGAGGGGCCGGGCCGGGGGCGCGCTCGGAGCCCGCCACGGAGACGCGCGCCTACCTCTTGTCAGAAGGGCCGGGCCGGGGACGCGGGGCGGCGTGGGGTGCTCATGCCGGCGGCTCCACGGCGCCGTCGCCGTTCCACTGCAGGCGGCAGCAGCTCAGCCGCCGGTTCCGGGGAGTGGGCCGGGGGGCGGGAGCCGGAGGGGCCCAGCGAGGCTCCAGTGGTTGTTACGGGTGACGAGGAGGGCGGGGCCGGGAGAAGGGGTACGCGTGCGCGAAAGCGGCCGAGGGGCGGAGGCAGGAGCGACGACGGTTGCTAGGAAGGGGGGAGGGGTGACAACCTGGGCCGAGCCGAGCTGCGCAGGCGCCAACTCCAGGCTGGCGGGCGTGGGAGGAGCTCAGAGTAGGCGTAGGCTCAGAAGCAAGGCAGGTCTGCCCAAAGGCGCTTGCCCGCACCCAGATTTGAGTCACGGGGCGGGCCTAGTGTGAGGGGCGGGGCTTGCGAGTAGCGGGGCGGAGGCTTCCGAGCCACAAAAGGGGCGTCCAGCAGTGGCCCCGGGGCGTTCCGCTGACTTGGAACTGGGAAGTTTGCGAGGCATCAAAATAGCCGGGGCCTTCCGGCTTTGCGGGGGCCCAGGGCCGGGCTGGTCTGTCTGATCGGCGCAGGAGGCTGCCCGTAGTTCCTCATCTTTTGTTGACTTCTGCGGTGCCCTGACCACATTCTCGCCGAGTAATGCAGATGAGGCAAACCCCAGGGCTGGGGAAGGGCTGGGTGGGACCCAGCAGCATCTTGTCAACACGTCCGAGCTGTTCGATGGACCTAAGACAAGTGGATCTGGCGTTTCGGCAAGAGCTCCAACTTTGAAGCACAAGTGTGATGCACACTGAGACATTTAGGGGTTCTTAAGAGGAGCTAATGACTAGAGAAGGACAGCACGCATGTCCACCCACACAACAAAGATGGTTTTATAGCCAACATACAGTTTCTCCATCAATGTCACTGTTGTTCCGTTTGCGTTAGTCACCCTCGGTGGCTGTGTATCACCTCAAACCATCATTTTCCAGCTTGATCACCCACCCTGCTTACTAGACTCAGCTAGGACTGGCTTTTGCCTGGTTGTGAAAATCACATCCACCTTCAAAAGGTGGTCCGAGAAAGAGACAACCCAGTAAACAGCAGCACTTATGAAATGGTCTCACCCCAAAATTGACCTGATCTGATAAGCCTCTAGATGGCAATGGCCAATTTACAAGAAATAGAAACAGAGGAACATGTTAAATAGTACCAGGGGGAAATAATCAGCCAAGCATAAATCATGGGAAATACTGCATGACAAACACATTCCTTATCAAAGTACAAAGGAAAAAATAGGGAAAGCGCCACACTATAGATCAAAAGCAATTGAGAAATTTATTGAGCCATACACTTATGATTTGTTTGCTTTTTTATGTATATATTATACTTCAATTAAATTTTTTTTCACAGTTAAAAGTACATTGTTGAAAAATCCAAACTGTAAAAATCATCACCTGCCATTATTACATTAACATTTAAATAAATAGGCATTTTTAACAAACATTTAGACACTCAAAAACTGAAAAAAAAGAGGGCAGGATTTATAAATACGTAAATACCCACGCATACTTTTAGAATGATAGCTACTGGAAGAATGAGACTTTTTTTTTTTTTATTTATCTAGGCTGCACCGGGTCTTAGTTGCAGCACGGAATCTTCGTTGCGGCATGCGGGATCTTTAGTTGCGGCATGCATGTGGGATCTAGTTCCCCCACCAGAGATCGAACCCGGGCCCCCTGCATAGAGTCTTACCCACTGGACCAACAGGGATGTCCCAGAATGAGACTTTTTAAAACGCCAATCTAGACAAGATTTTCTTCCATTCCAATGCCTCTTTCCTACATGTTGGTGATACCAAGAGCTTAAGAGAGCCATTGTTGTCAATGTCGGCATTCATGCCAGCCTCCTGTTCCAGTCTCTGCAGCTGATGATGAAAATGTGATGAATCTTCAGCCCTAGCTTTCTTGCTTTTTCATTAATTCACTTCTGGTAGTAAACTGTGACTGGTCTGCCACCTCAACGCCATCAGCCATTTCCATCACGTTGTCTAAAAGGTCTTTGTTGTAACTGCAACCCAGAAAGAAGTGGTTGGCCCAGACCATGGAGAGAGACGGCAGCTGGCCAGGCAGTGGTAGATGCTGGGTGGGTCGCGGTAGTCGGACAGGTGACACAGGATGAATTCCATGTGGACCTTCCATTGCTTCTCGCTCTCTAAGTGAGAGAATTGCTCCCTGAAGTTGGTTGCCTGCCACACCCCTGAAAGCAGCTCCTCCACCATGTTGCCCACCCTTCAATTAAAATTAAAAAAAAAAAAAACCAGATACTTGAGGTAGCAACCAATTGCAATATATGAACTTTATTTCCATCTTGATTTTAATAAAATAGTAAAAGAAACTTTTATGAAACAGGGTAGCTTAAACATTATTAGCAATAAATTATTATTGGCAAACAACAAGGTCCGACTATAGCACAGAGAACTACACAATATCCTGGGATAAACCATAATGGAAAAGAATATTTTTAAAAAGGTATATATATGTATAACTGAATCATTTTGCTGTACGGCAGTAATTAACACAACATTGTAAATCAACTATACGTCAATAAAAAATAACTAAAACATTATTATTAATTGTTTTGGTGGGATAATGGTATTATGGCTAATATTGATATCTCTTAAAGAAGGCTTCTCTTTTTAGGAATACACGCTGAAATATTTGGGGCTGAAATGATGTGATCTCTGGGATTAGTGTCGGAATAATCCAGATGGGGAAAGAGAGGAGGAAGGGCCTAGATGAAATAAGGTTGGTTGTAAATTGATCATTGTTTATTATATTCCTCTGTACACTTTTGTATGTGCTTGAAGTTACCTATAGGAAAATATTTTTAACAGAAAAGATGGTTTGTCACCACTGAGGATGACAAATCATGGCATAATCACAAATGAGGTATTGGAAAATGTCTCAAGAAAATAAGATACACAAACAGTAATCCCAGGGCCTGACCTGGATCACATGCCCATCCCTGAACCAATCTTTTGATCAGGGGGATCCAGAGGTCTCACTTTGCAGTTCTGGGTCATGTGATCTTAACATCTTTATTGGAGTATAATTGCTTTACATTGTTGTGTCAGTTTGTGCTGTATAACAAAGTGAATCAGCTATATGTATACATATATCCCCACGTCCCCTCCCTCTTGCGTCTTCCTCCCACTCTCCCTATCCCACCCCTCTAGGTGGTCACAAAGCACCGAGCTGATCTCCCTGTGCTATGCGGCTGCTTCCCACTAGCTATCTGTTTTACATTTGGTAGTGTATATATGTCCATACATACACTACCACTCTCTCACTTTCTCCAGCTTACCCTTCCCCCTCCCCGTGTCCTCAAGTCCATTCTCTGCGTCTGCATCTTTATTCCTGTCCTGCCCCTAGGTTCATGAGAACCTTTTTTTTTTTTAGATTCCATATATATGCGTTAGCATATGGTATTTGTTTTTGTCTTTCTGACTTACTTCACTCTGTATGACAGACTCTAAGTCCATCCACCTCACTACAAAAACCTCAATTTCGTTTCTTTTTATGGCTGAGTAATATTCAATTGTATATATGTGCCACATCTTCTTTATCCATTCATCTGTCGATGGACACTTAGGTTGCTTCCATGTTCTGGCTATTGTAAATGGTGCTGCAGTGAACATTGTGGTACATGACTCTTTTTGAATTATGGTTTTCTCAGGGTGTATGCCCAGTATTGGGATTGCTAGGTCATATGGTACTTCTATTTTTAGTTTTATAAGGAACCTCCATACTACAAATAGTATCTTCATTTTATTTTTTTAGAACATTCAAACTGTTTTTTTAATATATGGCAAAATTCTAAAGTCTGATAATTTTTGTTTTTTGGGTTTTTTTAAATGAATTTTTATTGGAGTATAGTTGATTTACAATGTTGTGTTAGTCTCAGGTGTACAGCAAAGTGAATCGGTTATACATATGCATATATCCACTCTTTTTAAAGTTCTTTCCCCATGTAGGTCATTATAGAGTATTGAGTAGAGTTCCCTGTGCTATACAGTAAGTTCTTATTAGTTATCTATTTTATATATAGTAACGTATATATGTCAACCCCAGTCTCCTAATTTATCCCTCCCTCCCCTTTCCCCCTTGTTAACCATAAGTTTGTTTTCTACATCTGTAACTCTATTCCTGTTTTGTAAATAAATCCATTTGTACCATTTTTTTAGATTCCACATTTAAGTGATATCACATGATATTTGTCTTTCTCTGTCTGACTTACTTCACTCAGTATGACAATCTCCATGTCCATCCATGTTGCTGCAAATGGCATTATTTCATTCTTTTTTATGGCTGAGTGATATTCCATTGTGTATATATGTACCACATCTTCTTTATACATTCCTCAGTCGATGGACATTTAGGTTGCTTCCATGTCCTGGCTATTGTAAATAGAGTTGCAATGAACGTTGGGGTGCATGTATCTTTTGGAATTATAGTTTTCTCCAGATATATGCCCAGGAGTGGGACTGCTGGATCATATGGTAGCTCTATTTTTAGTTTTTTAAGGAAGCTCCTCACTGTTCTCCATAGTGGCTGTACCAATTTATATTCCCAGATGAACAGTGTCTTTAAGTAGTATAATTAAGATACATGAACAAATTCCCAAGGCCAGTAATTCAAAGGAAACAACACTCATCTAAATGCATAAGTTATGGTATGTTTGATTGTTTTAGAATCAGTTCTAGGGATTTCCCTGGTGGTCCAGTGGTTAAGACTCCACACTCCCAATGCAGGAGGCCTGGGTTCCATCCCCGGTCAGGGAACTAGATGCCACATGCCACAACTAAGATCCCGGATGCCGCGACTGAAAGATCCGCATGCCGCAACTAAGACCCAGCACAGCCAAATAAATAAATAAATATTTTAAAATAAAAATAAATAAATAAAATCAGTTCTATTGGGTGTGTATCCAAAATCTATAAGAAACAGTACTGAGCACCACGCTTCAGAGTTAAGCAGAAAGATCCAGTCCTTTTAACACACGTGCATGGAGTTCTTATTATGTGTCAGACGCTGTGTGAGGCATAAAGATGAGCACATATGGAGGGGGAAGTGGAGAAGTGTATCAGGATCAGGTTTGGCTGCC